ACTCTCATGCCATGGACGTGACCCTCCAACCAAACCCTCCAATTGTCACCTTCCGCAGCATTGGAGGACCGATCGAAATATTCCTTTTCATGGGACCGACGCCAAACCAAGTGATTCAGCAGTATACCAGTATGATCGGCAGGTCCTTTTTGCCCCCTTACTGGGCATTAGGATTCCAGATGAGTCGATACGGATTCAAAAACTTAACAGAACTGCAGCAAGTGTACAACAGGAACAAGGAGGCTGACATACCGCAGGACGTACAGTACCTCGATATCGACTACATGAATCAAAAAAGGGACTTCACGTACGACAAAACGAGGTTCGAGAATTTACCCAATTTCATCGACACCCTTCACAGCGATCACGTTAAACTGATGATTGTCCTTAACCCGGGGATACCAAGCAGAATAAACACTACCTATCGTCCATTGGAACTAGGTCAGAAGATGAAAATCTTCGTTAAAGACCGAACTACCGGTCAACCGTTAGAGGGCTCAAATTGGCCAGGATTCGTTTACTGGCCGGACTTTACGCACCAAGACGCGACTACCTATTGGACATCTTTAGTCGAAGCCTTCCATGAGCAGCTGTCTTTCGACGGTTTATGGCTGGACATGTGTGAGCCCATGAACTTTGCTGACGGCAGCGTCGCCGGCTGTTCGAGAAGTGAGTACAACCATCCACCTTACAATCCTTTGCCTTATCCGCGTATCACCGACAAAACTTTGTGCATGGACAGCGAACATGCACTTGGCATTCACTATAGTGTACACAATCTGTACAGCTACTTTACGTCAAAAGCAACGTACATAGCACTGTCAGAACTGTTCCCTGGCAAACGCCCATTCATCCTCACTCGATCTACGTTCGTCGGATCCGGCAAATACACAGGTCATTGGACAGGGGACAGTTGCAGTAAATGGAATGACCTCAGGATGTCAATAATTACCATGCTGGAATTTCAGATTTTCGGTATTCCGATGGTTGGAACAGATATATGCGGATATCGGGATAATGTTAATGAAGAACTGTGCTTAAGATGGACTCAAGTCGGAGCCTTCTACCCTTTGAGTAGAAATCACAACGCAGACGAGAGTACAGTCGACCAAGACCCCGCTGCATGGTCGAAAAACACAACTACCGCCATGCTGACGATCTTGATGGCAAGATATGCCTTCCTGCCCTACCTTTACACGCTGTTTTACCAGTCGTCGGTGTATGGTGACACCGTTGTGCGTCCACTGTTTTTCGAGTTTCCGGCGGATTTTGAGGCACGAAATGTTGATGATCAATTCTTATGGGGATCTTCGCTGATGATCGTTCCCATACTGACGCCGTACACCACCAGAAGATTCGCGTACTTCCCCCAGAGCCGATGGTATAATGCTTCCTCAATGGAGGAGGTGAACATAAACAATCAGAACCGCAACCATAGCATATTTATAGGCAAGGAAAGTATCGGAATGTTCATCAGGGGCGGGTCAATAATTCCTTATCAAGAGCCTGCGAAAAACACGTATCTTTTACGACAGAATCCAGTGGGTCTCATCGTAGCTCTGGATGAAAGCAGCTATGCAAAGGGCAAGCTGTTCGTCGACGACGGTGTGTCACTGAATTCCATCAAGCTATTCCAGTACGGACTGTACGAGTTCGAGGCCTGGACCAAAACAGAGGGCCGTGATATCGTCGGTCGTGTTCGCATGGTTGCCACCAACTGTGAATTTCCGCTGAACTGTTATCTGAACCATGTGCAGGTGTTGGGTATGATCGGTAAACCGAAGGAAGTGAGGATAGACGGTCGCAACGTCAGTGACGAGCAGATTACGTACACGGACGGTGGGCATTCGATGCATGTCTACCAGCTGGAGATTCTCTTTGATTGCCAACATAAGACTCATATTTTGGAGTGGACGCAGCAGGCACAGCCATCCTATCGATATCGATTTTTTTCAGAAGATTAATTGATTAGTATTTAAAGAGCTCGCTTTAATTATATACTGTCTTTAAGTTAGCAATAAATTATCCTCAATTTAAAATGTTGCTCTAAGCTTGGATTTACAGCGAAATATAAGTTGAGAGGAAAAGTGGATTAACTTAACCTTGCCCTGATGAAGTTATGGTCTATGAAGCGAAATGCGTCGGCAAAAAACTTGTATTTTGTGCCCTGAACCGTGAATCGTTCAAAAACCTCACCTGTCTCTATAATTGTGGGCCCAGAATCAATAAACCTGAAGTATTATTTAAAAGAGTACTAAGATTCATTTCAGCTTATCTGTACAGCGAAATGCCCGTCGGCATAAAGTTTGTACCACAGAGCAGAAGACTGCAAGCCAGATACTCATTTTAGTTAATGATAAACAGTCGGCTAGTTTCGACGAATGTTTATCCTTTCGGGGAGCACATTATTGATAATCGTACATGAAAATATTTATGCACGACGAAATACGATATTATCATTGATTGCGCTTTATTAATTTATAAAATTCTGAGTGCACTAACAACATAGGTAAGGCTTATCAGGATTCACACGGCGGAGTCAAACCATAATGTAGCTTCTAGAGGCCTAACATCCGTTTTAAGCAAAATACGGTTCAGTGATATTATACGGTGGATGGAAGCATATTAGGTTGTGCTCTAGAAGAGCTTCACATCGAAAAAGTATACAATGTATAATATGCAGACGCCATAAGATCACTGAACCACGACCTACTCGAAATGCCCCTTAAAAATCTAGAAGTAAAATGCAAACCGGTAAGCGATACAGCTGTATAATAAAGTGCTGAAATGCTATACCATCTTCCAGCACTTAATATTAGTTCCAAATACAGCTTGTGTATTTACGTTTTATCATTTTCAAGTTACTGTTGTTGTTGTCATCTTCATCTCAGGTATCAGTGTCAGAGGCAAAGTGCCCAGAATAACGATGTCTGAAATCGTTCGATTATACGCCGCCGCGAATGGTCGCGTGGTGTTTCCGCTCAACTGCTTGATCCTGTTTTGCGACGCCTGTACGGTAAGTAGTGGTAGTGCACATCCACAGGTCCAAATGTTTACTATAAAGCGACATCCAGTCGATCAGCGTTAGGAAGGAGAAGATCCGTATGTGTCAGTACTCAATAACAGAGAGAAGTGGTGAACGATGAACGTATATTACTTACAACAGTCAATCTGGAGCGACAGGCTGAGAGCATACGATATTCCACTTCCATTTGACCTGGTTCAGCCACGGCTGCAACCCAGTCGGGCATTGACCGGATAAGCACATAAGTTCTGCCATCTGATCTTCCGCCTAACATCCTGTGTTCGAACGGATGTGCCGTGTTTTGAAGAGCCAAGACAGCGCTATATTAGTGAGCAGGCTCCTGCAAGATCTATAACACCCATAGAAAGCTCATGAGTAGCAATGAATTTACAGGTATCAGCCCAAATGAGAGAACCGGTGAGGAAGAAGAAGAAAAGACGTAGATCTGCAGAAGAAATTTTGCACACTAAATTTTCTGACGGGGGCGATGACCCCCATGAATTATGACGGTCTGAACGACAGCACCGCGTAAATATGTACATTTATATACAAGTGCGCATTTTTTATAGAGCATCCGCTTCAATAAAATTTCAGAATGATGAGTACGGCGTCCCTTGACTAAACCAGACAACGACAGGTTTGGCCACTACACTCCAGCGCAAGAAAAAAAGCTTCCTCGTAAATAGAGGAAGTGGAAAGCGAATTACGTTCAGGTAACTGAGTAGCATTCTTGTACCATTCATTTCTTTTCAAAAATATGCAAATAATAGAGATGCAAAGACAAATATGCCTGAATACGCGCATATTTGTCACAACAGCGTGACCGTAATCGGTTTGGTCACATAAAACTTTAGCATTAAATAAAATAGGATAAATACTGCGAGTAATGAAAGAACAGTGAGAAGCAATCAATGTAACAATTTTCAGTATCACCTGTGAAGAAATGGCACGGAACGAATAAACGCGCTGTAAAACACGACTTTCAGTCACTACTCCAGTTGACCAATCGGAGCCTTTTCTAACCAGAGACTATGAAAGAAATCATAAAGAGAACTATTCAACGAGACCTTGTATGGCGTTGGATTCAGTGAACGTTTGTGATCGTTGCGCACATGGCGAAAGGACGACTGCAGATGCGTTTTGATTTCGTTGAGCGTGGGGGCTTTCATCGTTCGATGACCATTTTCCCAATATACCTTATGAAGTACTTGTACGGTCGCAGCTTTCACGATAGCTCTTTTACATTCCTGAAAACAAGCGATTAAAACAGCAATTTAAAACGGACAACTTACGTAAAAGGGATGACGACACAACACGGACATCATTTCAGCAGGAGGATCATCGGCTGCTAACTGGACCAAGTCATTTATAGCATATCCTAAAACGCGAGCCAATAATCGATCATACGGCTTTACCAATCACACAAACGAGACAACTACCATCTTTGCCGTATAGACGATAAACGATCTTCCGTCCTGGAATCGTAATTTTCTCAATGTCCTCGCTGAGCTTAATCCTTGATTCGCCGTTAAGTTCGACAAGCTTATAGACACAACCAAGCGCAGGCTGCTTCTGGCACGTCACCAGATGAGTACCTACTCCAAAGCAGTCAATCTCGTGGCCTTGCTCGTTCAGTGAATTTATGGTATCTTCATTGATGTCGTTGCTGGCACAAATGACCAAATCAGCAAACCACGGTCGGTCGAACCTGAAAGAAAACTATGATATTGATTCTATGATTATGACGGCCTGAAATCCGGTTTACATGGAAATCTTATAACAGACATTCTTATACTGAGGACTTACAGTGTTAGGACTGAAAAAAGCGAGTGTGATTTAAGGGGAACCTACCTGTAAACGAACAGCCCTCTTCGATTAAGTGGCATACCACACAGAAATCGAGCCCAACGCGCTGTAGAGAACATCTGCAAAGCAGAACAACCATAGAAGGCAAACCAATCTGCTGAACGACCAGAACTCTAGACTTAGACCGAATATCATGCAGCTCGAAAACTTCTTTGAAAGCGAAGCGTGGAGACAACTTCTGCAATGCCCTCCACGGCGGGTAGCCAAAAGAGAAACAGATCAACGGAAAATTCGTTCTTTACGTTGTGTCGAGTGCAAAAAGTACGCCAAAACTGTTAAGTAATGCTACGAAGAACTGGGCAAAGTATGAGTAAGAATAAAAAAGTACAAAATCAGAAGAAGGAGAAAAAAGAAGTGAAGAAAATGTGGGTAAGTAACAACGAAAAGAGTGATAAAAACAGAAAAAATCGAAAAAATAGAGTAGATTATTTAGAGGAAGTTTAAATAATGCAAAGAAAAGCAATATAAAATAAATGAGAGCAGAATGGAACTAAATTAAGAAAAAACTGATTTGATAGCAAGGCAAGTTCAGTACTTACTTCTGAGCAACGGCTCGAAACATTGCGCGAATCTCGCGCGACAGGTACGCCAGATCACCGCTGTCTATGCGCACCCCTACCGCTCGGAATCCACAAGTGTCAAGGGCGAGGGCACATGCACAAAAATTCACGGCACCACTTCTATAAAGCAAAAAAAGAGGTAGAACATTGCAGTGTTTTTTTTCCATATTTTTACCGTTTCATTGGATCTCATCGTTTGATTCAATTATGTCTTTTTTAAATTTACTATCTCCTATATAATGATCTCCTGTGGCGGTTAGTTCAACTATCAGATATAAGGCTAATAGGCATAAAGAGCACTGAAGTCGTAAAGAAACACCTATATTGGAAGGACCTCAAAATGGGGGACAAGTAGCGACTCGATTCGAATGGTTTACGGCACAGCTAAGCTATGACCTCGTTCGAAATGCGTAATCCATGTGATTTCCTTCAGGGAGCCCATTTCTATCGTGTCCTTCTGGTCATTACCTCTGACTTGTTACCAAAAAGCAGCAGCGAGTACAGGAATGAACATCAACTTGAATGCAGACATCTTCATCTCGGTAACCATGATTCGGGACAGGACATCTCACTGAGAAACCTCATCTATCCTATAGCCTTCCCATTCAGCACTGGATTTCCTCTGCCACCTTCCCTCTTTGTAAACACGATGTTGAGGTACCTGAGCTTTTTCATTGACCTGGAATAGATATAGAGTTCAGAGAGAAAATAGAGGGAAATCCGCAATTAAACCGTTCTAAATTTGTCAGCAATTCGCACCAAGCTGAAAATGGGTCATTCATCGTAGCATTTGTACTTATACTTCAACGCCCTGACGAAACATGCTTCATACCTCGTAAACCTTGGCATCGATATCATCATAGGCATTTTTGCTGTGTTGTTTCTTGATTTTCATCAAAGTGTTCCTGTATATTCTAAAGTCATGATGGTTTAGCTCGAAACCTGGCTTAAACCGGCAAATCGACTGTCACAGCAACAGAGATTGATTTTCTTCATTGATGCTGACTGGCCAACAGCAAAATGCCTAACGATTCCTCTGATGGCTAAATGTCCAAAACTATGTTGTTCATCCCATAAAATTCTGGATGCATCATCTACACCTGCCGTAATTAACGGAATGAATAAATGAGAACCCGTAAAATATACTGACTTGGCCATCG